TTACATGGGATATCCATTCCTAATAGATATAATTAAGAAAATATATCGAATAAAAACTATGCTGATTATTAATAAAAAATATTTTAATTCTTATCTATAATAATTTTAGTATCGATTAATAAATTTAATAAATTAAAATTTGGTTTATAAATAAAATGAATTTTTTCTTTAACTATTTTAATTTTTAAAGATAATACCCTATTTCAAGAAAATATTGGAAAATTTAACAATTACATAGAAAGTAGAATCCCTGAAAATTTATGATACTTTTTAAAAACCATTGTATAATTAAATATAATTGTCATAATTATTTAACTTTAATCTTATTCTTCAAGATAGGACACAAAATTAAACTTAATTATCACGGTTAATTTTTATATTACTGTTTACAATCTAACAATTAACACAATAATTTAAAATTCAAACTTTATTTATTGTTAGTTCAAAAGCAAACTTGAATCGTAGTTAAATATTTATAAATTTAATAATTTTTGATAAAAGAGAGAAAATAAAAAATTTAATTAGACTCTTTATAAATTTTTAATTAAGTTTTTAAATATTAGCACATTGAAATTGAAATAACCATATTAATTTAAGGAATAACAAAAAAATATAAAATCAGGTATGTTTATCTAATTTGATTATAAATCTAATTAATTAAATTAAGAAATGATATTAAACAGTGATTAATATTAGATTTCCTTAGTAATTTGAAAAATTTTAATTAAAGTTTATATAAATGAATTTTAATAAATTGTTAATTTTATAGAAAAACTAGAAAAAAAGTGAGGGGTTTGAAATCACCAATTTTTGTAATTAAAATTGGTCGATCTTTAGCTTGAAATCTGAAATCTTCCCAACTTAAAAATTAACTTTCTTTTATAGTTTCTCTAAAGAAATTTCGTTTATATAGATTTCAGATGAAGCTAAATTTTTTAAAAATGAAGTATTAAAATATATTTTTTAATAATTTTAAAAATAACCTTATTATTTATTATGCATAATTTTCTATTATTTTATTCATCTTTTATTAGATTCATGAATTTCCATTATATGTGAAATGAATTGATGATTTCTTATACTAATAAATTTTGAATTTGATGAACTTAAAAATAATCTAAGTTTTTATAAAAATTAACAGTTACTTTTAGCTTCTTAACTAGATTTATGAACATTTTATTAAATGATTTCTCAATGTTTTGAATAAATATTTTATTCTTTTTTTTCTTTTATTTTCTTTTTTTAAAATATTTCTTAATAATTTTGTAAAATTGAAATTTGGTATTTTAGAATTTAGAAATAAATATAATTTATTAAGAAATACGGGCTTATATTTTTATAAATAAGCTGTGGCTATTCCTAAAGTAAAAATAAAACACAATTTAATAAGGCATCCAATTAAAATGATTTAGATTGTTATAGAGGGACCCAAATAATTATTTTATTCACAAATATATTTCACAATGGCTAAAAATATTGATATTGAACAAATTTAACAACTTTATAAATCTTATTAATTAAATTTTAAATTAATAAATGGCTAATGAAATGTTGTTAATATTTAATAGATTAACAAACACAAACCTAATAAAGAAGCTTTTAAAACAATATCAGTTTCAAAATTTGTAAGTATAAAAATTAAAATTCCTTTTTTGAATAATTTAATTTATTCCCAATAATATTTTTATTCTTTGTATTCATTTAATAGATAAGAAATATGTTTTCTAAGTTTAATTTAATCTAAGCGATTTTTATTAATCATCATTAAGATTGAAATAAAAATAGGAATAAAAATACCTACTATAATTAATCCAGGTAAAATAAAATAAAACATCCATATATAATGATTTTGAGTACCATATCTTATAGATAGATCTCCTTGAATATAATCTAAATGGGATATTTATCTTTTAGAAACCACAGATGAAAACCTTATGAAAATAAATTCAATACATTTTTATTAATCCTGCAAAATTAAAAACATATAAGTAAAGTGCTGTATTTGATAGAATACTTTAATCATACTTATGTTTTTTAATATAAGCATATAAATAAGAAACTGCAAAAGTGATATTAAATTATATCATAACTATGATTAACATTGTTAGTATTTTTAAATAAATAATGGGTATCTATTCTATATAAGATAAATAACAATCTAAATCTTTAGCCATAAAATAAGAACTATCACTAGTTTATTCAATAACAATAAAAGAGAATGAAAAATCAATATTAAATGTAAATATAACAGAAAATATCCAGAGATAGTTTATTAATAATTTTATCTATATACTTTCCAAATCTAACAATAATTTTACTAATACCTTAATTTAGCTTAAATAATATTTTATTAAATCTTTGAGCAATATATAATAAATTAGAAGAATGAATGCTGTTTAATGACATAAATATTGAGAGAAATGACCTAAATTTATATTTTTATAAATAATACCAAATGCCTACTATAAAAAATGTAAAAAAACTATTCCATTCAATTTAACACTCTAAACATTATGAATCCCACTAATTTTTAAAATAATTACCAAAACCTCTTATATTATAGACATCACATTCTTCACATAAACCACCTAAATGTCCTTAATTACATGAATAATCACCAACCTACCAACCTCCATTACAAAACTTTGGATTTTTAAAACAATATTCAGCTTAATCTGATAAATTATTTGGTCTCCAAAATCCTGGTAACAAATTTATCATATTTTAAGTTATTTCAGAATATTTACTTTTATCAAAAATAGAACATTTTGTTGTATTATATGTTACTGAATAATATCCTTAATCTGATTAACAAATCTAACATCCATTATTTATGTAAAATTCACCCAATTAACACTTTAAACTTTTAGCATTTATTATATATAATAAATTATTGTTTGATTCATTCAATTAACAATTAATTTCAATCTATAAATATTTATAATTTTATTCATAAGGATCTAAGCTAAATGATAAAGATCCAAAATCAAATGAATTCATTTAATTTTCAAAATATAAAGTTTAAACATCTCTATCTTGATTAAATTCTTAAAAATTTTTTGTAATAATTTTATTCTTTATTTTACAACTTGAATTAAATAGATTAAATAGGATTTCATTTCTACTATTTTTATAAAAAAAACGAATATCTTTTATAAACGACTTATAATTTGAATTATGAATATCAAAAATTTTGAAATTTTTAATCATCTAATTACTTGGTATATATAAATCATTTGTAAGTATTTAACTACCTTATTCTACCATTCTATAAGTTTTAATATTTAAAATATTTATTTGTTTATTATTTATAAATTATAACTGAGAAGGATTTTCAATAGAATTTATAAAAACAGCCAAATGAGTAGGAATCTCTATAATATTATCACCGTATTCTTAAGCTTGATTGAACAATAAAATTGATTATAAAAAATTTTTATTATTTAAATTACATTTATTGTCTAAATGTATTCCACCTCCAATTCTTGCTCTATTGTCTATTATATATGATTGACTAATTAAAAAATCAAAGCAATTTTCTTTAAAATATAACCCTCCTCCAAAATCTTTTGCATAATTTTTAATTACATAACATTATTTTAATTTAACTTTTGCTTTTTCCGAGAAAATCCCTGTACCTTGACTACCATTATTAAAAAGAAAATTTGAATTCTCAATTACAATTTTAGATTAGATTTCATTCTATTAGTAAAAATATAAACACCCAAATTTTTTAATAGTGTTATAATTACAATTAAGATTTTAAATTTTAATCTATTTAAATTCTTAAATTTCAAAGAATACCATTCCATAATCACATTATGAACAAATGTTATTATCTAATTGAAGGTTTTTAAATAAAATTACATTCTTAGTTGATAAGCTGTTTATTTTAATTACTGATTTTTATTAATTATTTATTTACTAAAATAAATTAATACTTATATACAAATAATCTTGTTGCAAGCTTCCAAAATATTCTACATAACTGGTACATTCTTTTAAATAATTTGAAGTGATAAAATTAGTTTAAATTTAATTCATATTATTTTAGTAAAGTGAAATATTTCTGATACTGAAATTTTAAAAATAAATTAAATATTTAATCTACAAAAACTATGTAATTTAAAGAAGATTAAATGAGAAGAATACTTCAATATTTTAAAACTAAACATTGCTTATTTACAATTTAGGTATGTTATCAAATTAAAAAATTGAGTTAATTAAAATCCCTTCCATTATAAATCCATTTATAGAAACATTACTACTTTATATAAAAATAAGTGAATTTTTGTTATTTATAATATCTGTGACTTCTTAAATGATTAAATCTCTAATTCTAGTGAAGTAATAAATCCATGCAACATAAGTCTAAACTATTCTGATATTTTAAATAATGACTTAATTTTTATCCATAATTGAAGATGAAAATTATACATTAAGAATGGAATCAATAAGTGAAATACAATTAAACACATTAATTTCTTTTAAAAAAATAGAATTTGATTATTTAGAAGGATTAATAGATAATATAGATGGTGCAAGCCTATTAAAAATATTAGTAAATTAACTATTCTTAATTGATAAATTTAGCTTACTATCTTAAGATTAGATATGAAAACATCCTGTGTTTTTTTCGATTGATTTTAAGTTATTTTCTATTAAATTGACTGTAAGATTAATAAAATTAATAATTCCATCTGCAATAGTTGTAATGTGAAATATCATACTATCCATCGCCAAAATATTTGAGAATGTACAATTTAGACAACTAAAGTTGGAAGCTGATATTTATCCAACTCCTCCAATAGTTTTGATTTATAATATTTAAATTATAATTTCATTTAAAGTATCTTAATTAAATTATTCCTTAAATTATATGTCATAATGATTAGTCCACAATTCTTGTGATAAAATATTTATGTTATCTATTTTAATATTGATAATATTTAGAATATGCGATCTCAAAATAGTTAAAGAATTAGAAGAATTAGTTAAAGCATTATTCTAATACAATATATTTTTTATTTCAATTAAGCTAGATGATGAGATTACATTCAATAAACTAGTAGTTGCACCTACAGCTCCACTTTCATATGAATGGAGAAAGTTTTCAATATAAGAAATATTATTTAGCATCACATTAATTCTGCTTTCAGATTCGATTTATAAGCAAGAAATTTATTCTGTTAATGTTGTTTAAATTATTTTATTCCGAATAAAAGATAAATTCTAAATTTGAATCTAAGAATTGCTAATTGATTAAACTTTTTAACTTGTGGTAATCTATATTATTGAACCATCTATATTAAATATATCTGAAATTTTCACATTTGTTATCTCAATTTTGGTAAAGCCATATATTTAGAGTAATTTCGTTTTTTATCTAAATTTTAAACAGTTTTATGATAATGGAATTCTATCATATTATTTTGAACTTTTGAATATTAAATTTGAAATTAATATTTAATTATTTTCTGATATGTAAAATATAATTAAATTGGTATTTTCAATTATTACAAAATTTTATATTTATATTTCTTAACTGTTCATGTAAAATAATTCTATATTTTCATCATAATTAGAATAAAGATTATTCTGTTGAATAACAAAATTTTTTAAGTAAATTTTTAAATTATTTGTTTAAAATGTTGAATATGATAGAATGATATTTGAAGTCTTAAAATAATTATATTCTATATTCATATAATTAATTTCGTTAAAGATTTGATTTTAAAAATGTATTTATGTAATGGTTAAGAATTAAGAGAAAAAAAATAAATTTTCTTAAATTTTTGTAGAATTAATTGTAATTTCAAAGCTAACAGTTATGATTTTAGAGATTTCCAATTTATTAAAATAAAAATCAAAATTATTTAAATTGACTTTTATTTAATTTGTGCTGTTTATAAAACAGGAATAAATGAAACTGCAGTTTAATATTTAAATATTTTGTCCTGTAAGAAATCCTTATTAAGGATAATTGTTTAAGAAACTAAATATAGATGATTGATTTAGTATAGATTAATTTAAGACAAATTATGAAATTGATATAGGATATTCTATTTTTTAAAATTTAAAAAATTCAGATTAAATGAATGTGCAATTATGAATAAATAATTAAATTATTTCGATTTATCCTAATAATAAAGAATTTTGTAAATTAAAAATTACCGAATTGATGAAGTTAGAGTTTATTATAGTAAAATTTTTTATGATTATATTCCCAAAAACTGAAGTTTAAAAAAAAGAATTTATATTATTAAAAGAGCTATTAAGAATTGAAAAATTGTTAAGGATAAAATTAATTTTATTGTTGTTATTATCAAAATGTAAATATTGATTTTCTGAAATAATAATAGCTAAATTGTTAATTTGTACTTAATCAAAGTTATTAAACATTAATGTAGAAGGAATAGAAAGTTCAACAAATTTGTATCCTGATAAATTGAAATTAACATTTTATAAAGTAAAGATTTTTTATTTTAATTAAGTCTGAAAATCTATTGGTATAAGCATTTGACAATGTTAAGTTAAGATCTTAATAATGAAACTAAATGTTAAACTTTCCATTCCAACATGATTACAATATTGTATATTGATTAAAGTTTCATAAGTTCTATCAAATCTTGCAAAGTCACATGTAGTAATAGTGCTTTCAAACAAAAATTTATCTTAACAACTATTATTGTAACGGTTATAACAATACTTAACGAAATTAGAATAAGGATTCAGCATAATCTAAGGATCATTATATGAACGAAAGCATTTTTTAGAATAAATTTTGGATTCATCAGTAATTATAAAATTTGGGAAATTTTCCTAGTTTTAAATAAATAAATGATACTTAAATTTCAGAATTTAAGCGATCTGAACATACTTGACATAATGGAGGACAAAATTAACAATCTGAACTTTCTTCTGTAAAGGTTGGTTTTTTATAATAATTTAATGGGCATTCTTTACAATAAGTAAATGGGCTATCAATACATAAAAGACATTCAGAAGAACAAAAATTAATATATGATTCTTCTGGATTTAAAAAGTATTTATAAACTTTAACATTAAGATAAGGAACAAATTAAAGAGCAAAACTTTAAATCTGATTTATCTAATTTTGAATTATTAATTCATCAATATCAAATTCATCATCAGGTAAACAATTATTATTTTTTATTATGTAATTAATTTAGCATGTAACACAAATTATTTCTATCTTTTGGCTTATTGTACAATATTGACAATTTTAAATTTAATCATTACAATTAGATATTTCAGGAGCAATAGAGAAATCACTATTAAATGATTAAATGCATATTTCCTTACTCTTTAAATTTATAAAAGATCTTTTACAATTTTATATTTAAGGCTTTTAATTTATACATAGACCTAATGTAAAATCAAATATATAATCTTATTCACAAAGGGCACAACCTATTTCGATATTTGACTATTTTGGTAAATCAATATTAAAAAAATTTAAAAATGAACATTAATTTATATCTTTTTTAGAGTATTCAAAACAATGAATACAATTTTTAATTTCACATAATTTACATGAATTTTCAAATGAATAATAATATGGTAGTAAACAAATAAGATCTTAACTTGATATTATTTCCTATTTGGGCATACAATTACCATCTATTAATAAATAATCTTCTACGCATTTTAAACATTGAATTGTAACTAAACTTATTTAACAAATTTAACAATTCTCAATTAAGCATCGATAACAAGTTTATGAATCAATTTCAACTTAATCTATATAATTTAAATGAATTTATTAACAAAATCTTTAAAAGTATGTTTAAACTGACTAAAATTCTCTAAATATGCCATTAATATTCGTTAAGTTTAAATCATAAGAATGGGTTATACGAATTGTGTTAAAGTCGATTCCATCAAAATAAAACCAATCTTAAGAAGTTTGTTAGTAGTAATACTCTGTAATTATATTGGGCTCTATTATGAAAATATTAAAGCAATTTGGCTTATTAAACCAATTCTTTAGATTACTTAAACATTCATTACAAGTTATAATTTTATCGTTTAATATTGAAGGACTAAATATAAATAGATTATATATACCATAAATAACAATCTCCATCTAATTCAAAATATCCGTATTAACAATTTTTAATTATATTTAAATTTTCATCCTTAATTAATTAAATATTTGATTCTTTAAAGTTTTAGCACTCATTTTAATTATCTATTGTACCAAATGGACATATACAAACTTTATGTTCTGGTATATAGATTCTTTTTGATTCAACTGAACAAGATAAACAATCATTATTTGTTGGACCATCACATTCTAAACAATCTGAATGACAACTTAAATTGTCTTATTTTTAGTAACAATTCAAAAAATCTAAATTTCTTATTTATAAATTTAAATAATTAGGCGATATTTTTAAAACATTTCCATAATATATTTTATATTAACATTATTGAAATTAATGTACATTAAATTCAACATTGTAAATATTAATTTTATTTTCTTCATAAAACTTTATTTCAACTTTAAATAATGTTTTTGATAACTCAACTTTTAGAGAGTGCCAAAGTTTTATGTTATTTTATATTTGAAATGTTTTTTATAATAAAAAAGGATTATTAGTAAAATCAGTTGTTACATCTGGAAAAGTATAATTATATGTTGTAATTACAATCTCATTTATTTCAGAAGATACATGATAAAACAGTTAAAAAGGTGATAAGTTTTAATTCTGTAGTTTTGGATTTTCTAGATTTGCTGAAATCTTTAAAAATTAATAAATGAGTTTTTCAGATAAATTTATAATATCTTTAATTTTGATCCAACCACTTAGAATAAAAGAATCACAACTTTTATTTTTTGATACAAATTAATTCTACTATTAATTTGAAAAATCTTTATCTCCAATTTAATGTATATCATTTTGCAAACAAATACAAGATTCAAAATTTGATTCATATATTGATATTATTAAATCCATAAAATTAAAATCAAGACTTAGTTTTTCTGTTGAGACTTCTTATAACCATAATGAACCTGGAAAATAAGAAAAAATTTAATTTTCATTATTTTGTACTTATAAATTACCTCCAAATGTTAATATTAAAGTTAAATCTTTTAATAAATTTTTCATTTATTCTGTGGTCTGAAATAATATTTCTTATTTCTTTAGAATTAATAACTTAAGCTTATTTTACTAAGGCCAGATCATAATTTGAAAAAAAAACCAAATATCTTCATAATCAAATTCATCAATGACAATATCAAATTTGAATTACTAATTCTTTTAATTGATAAATTTAATAGTTTTTATTATTTTCCTAGACTCTTTGTTTATGCAATCAAAATATACAATATTTAAATTCTTTAATTCAAAATCCATAGCATTATGTAAATGAAAACATTAACTATCAAATATTCCATACTAACCTACTTAAGCTTTTATGCTTAGAGGATTGAATTTAGACCATAATCCATATGTCACACAACTTCTTATAACATAATTTTCATCATTTAATTAAACCATCTTTCTTTAAACTTAATTTTTTGAATTCATTTCTATAGTATTAAAATTGCTCATTATTTTTGGAATTAAGACTAGTAGATATAGGAATATCATTGAATTATAATTAATAATAATTCACATCAAAAATATGCCACTTGTTTAATATGATTATTTAAGAATCAAAATTATTCCATAATTAATTGAATTTAAATAAATTCATGTAAGAAAAGAAATATACTCTTAAATGAATACTGCATAAATAGTAAACTACCAAGCATAATTCATTATTTCTTTAATCTTTTTGACTTCCTTTCATTAATCCTTTTTATTTAAATTCTTCTTAAAGCAAAAAATTAATTCTGAAAAAAATATATTATAAATTGAATTTTATCCATTCAAATGTTGAATTTAAAGAAATACAACATATCTAAAGATAATTAAAACTTGAAAATGATACTGAAAATTTTCTCATTAAACAAAAGAAGAATACTTCACATTTTAAAATTTTTGACTAGAAATCAAAAAATACATTTTAATACCAAAAAAAACACGTTTTTTGAGAACTTATTATTCTATCTATATTTTTGGTGCTTTATAATTTTTTTATAATGATTATCTATGTTTTTTACTTTGTGTAATTAAATTCAATGATATACTTTTCTTTTAACAGAATATTTATTTTTGAATTAATAAAATTCTATATATAATAATTTTTTAATTTAATTTGTAAATTCCTAGGCAAAAAATACAGAAAGAAGAATTTCATAACAACTGAATCTTAGATTTTTAGGGGATGTGTATGGTTTCAAATATTAAGGTTCTAATGGAAATTTCTAACAACTTAAAATCCTTTTAATAATTAAAATGCTTATATACAATAACAATATTATTGACTGAAATCTTATTGGTTCATAATTACAGTACCCATATTTTTAATAAAAATCAATATCAAAAAATAATTTATAAATCTATTTTCATATAATATATTCTACATTAATCTAATTTCGAATAAGAAATAAAACTTACTATATTATCACCGTATTTCAAATTAAGGGAGAGAATGATTTTAAAAACCACTCAGATTTAAATTATCTTTATATCTATCATATATAAAGGATAAACTCTTTAATTATACCGAATTCGAATATTGAAACTCAGCCTGAAGTTCAAAAATGTATTAGTTTAATTTGAATTATTACATAATTTATAATATAATAATTTATAAAGAAGTAACCTATAAAATTTAATCAAAGTCTTGTATCTCACTATCTTTTGATTTTTCTTTGAGGTTTATGCTTCTATTTGTAAAATCTTATTTTCTTCATCTTCCACAATTAAAGCAATTTGAACTTAAAATAAAATAATGTATTGATGTTTTCTTTTTAAATTTCACAATAATAATCATTATCCTTCAATTTTAAATATATTTTTTGCATTTTTAATTAAAGTTTAGAAAATTACAATCTCATTCAAGAATTTAAATCTCCGATAATTAAGAAATTCTTATATTATCTTCATTTAATCAATATTGAATATTTAAAAAAGTTCTTTAAGGGAATATCATTAGAAGTGCTTTTAAAAACTAAATTTATTTGTTTTAATATATTTAATATGCATCTAAAATTAATTTTTTTCATTTCCCAATGTAATTTTGAATAAAAAAAAAATTATTTGTTCATGAAATTTAATTAAGTTATTTGGATTCTTTTAAACAGTTTTCTTTTTTATTTAAAGAAAAATAGAAATATTGTACAATTAAAAGGTTCCATGTAATGAATTTAATAAAGAATTAATACATCGAAATCATGAATAAGAAATATCTTAATTATAAGATAAAAGTCAAGATTAAATGAAAATGAAATTTGAGTTCAAAATATTTCTAAATTTAAGGCTTTAAAATATCCTTATATTAAATTACACATAATTTTGCAAATAAAAAAAGGAATTAAAGAAATTATTTGACAGAGATATTAATTGATATAAATTTTAGAGTATTAATTAGTGGGTTAAGTAATTTAAACTAAGACTTATTTAAAAAAGATAAAATTAATAAGTAATTTAAGACTTAGATAAATTAGAGAGACATAATAATAGATATTTTTTATCTTAGATAGGAGTACGTAATTGTAAATCTTTCAAATTTAGCATTTGCTTATATTTCAAATAGTAAAATTACAAATTAACTTTGCACAATTAAAATGACTCTATTTGATGAATAGACAAAGACTTAATGATTGATTTAATTCAAATTGATTTCTTAATTATCAAAAGGTAGAAAACTAAATCGTCATAACTAAATGTTAAATCTCTTATAATTTTATAAGAAATTATCAATTAATTATAAAACAAAAAGTGGGATAGGTATACTTAAAAAAAAGGTTTATTATTGAATAATAGATGTAATAAATAATATAGAAAGATTAATGTAATAATATGGACAATTTTATTGCATATAAAATGAAGAATTTCTGTGATGATGTCATTATTATTTTGATAAAAAAAAAAGATTAAATGGCAAAAATTCTTTTTCTTCTTTCACTTTGTTTAGTCATTAGAGCATAATGGGAACTTGTAAGTGAAGATCTATTAGATTTTACTGTTTCCACCGATAAATGGAAGTTTAGAAATTCATGCGATTGGAATATTATTTTTGAAAGTGGATAGTTTTAAAAATGCAAAGAAAACGACATAAGATATATTTTAGTAGGGAAATCAAGGATTAGCGCATTTTATTCTGTATTAAATTTGCCTCCACATTATGAAGTTAAAGTTATTATAGATGGTTATTTTATATGGCCACCAGGTTCAACTGTTACAATTTCTTATGATATTTAAGGATCCTCTCCTTCATAATCATTCAATTACAAGGATGATAATGTATAAAGTTATGATAAAGCTTGTAATGATGACTGGAGTAAGTTTGATATATAAACATTCACTATGAAATTTAATCATAATGATAATGATGAAATTAAGTTTAGAGTGTGTGGAACAAATTTTCCAGATGATAGAAATTATGGTATAAGAGGTTTATAGATTTATGTAAATAAATGTCATTGGTCATGTTTAAAATGTAGTAGCAATTTAGAAAGTACTTGTCTAGCTTGTTTTACTAATCCTTCTGCTAATTTAGGGTCCCCTTCAAGTTGTGGAAATTGTCCTGCTAATTATGCTTTTATTGAATATTTAGATAATACAAAAAGTTGTGTAACTGAATGTAATTACTATAGAATTCCAGATTCTAATAAAGTATGTTAATTTAATGAATGTATTGATTTTAATTATTATTTAGATATGCTTCCTTATACAACATTTTTTGATACTACTACATTTGCTTCTACATCTCCATGGATATTTGTTCCTGATCCAATAAATTTTAATTTAGTTTATTCCGAAAAGATAAACACAATTCCTTGTTTATCTAGTAAAAATTATGTAGGTGCATTTTTTTATAATGAAGGATTTAGTATTAAGTTATCAATTCCTTATAATATCTCATATATAAGATTTAGAGCAACTATAATAAAATTAAACAATTGGGTTGATTATTCAGCAGTTCATGTATTATTAGATGATATTGAATTTGCATCTGTCTACACTATGTCTTAAGTAATGACAGGTCGAAATGCTGATTAATTATATTCTGATACAAATTGTACTAATCCGAATGTTGGATATTATAGATTAGAAACTAAATTAAAATCAAACATCACAAATCCTATATTGGTCTTATAAGGATCTATGGAGTATTAATATAATAATAATAATTAAAAGTTAATCTGGTTTATAATCTTGGGGTTTTCGAGATGTTGTTATGGATATAATGAAATGTTAAGAATCATGTGATTGGTGTGATTTTGATTAAAAATGTTATTCTTGTTCAACAGGATTTCTTTATAAGAATAAATGTGTATCTAATTGTCCATCATATGGAATTTAGACTACAAGAGTTTGTTAAGATTTAGATGAAATTGCTGCTAGTATAAATATATAATATTAAATGTTAGATTCAAAATATATAATAAAAGCATTTTATGATTCTTCAAATACAACTGATATAGATGTAAGTTCTATTGTTGGAACAGTATCAAACTCAGGTGGAGATTTTAAAACTAAAGATCGCTTTTTGAATACTAATACTGCTATTTACTTTAGTTATTATTTGTAAAAAAGAGTATTAGGTGGTCCATTAGTTTGGTATAAAGCAAAATTTCTAAGAAACTTCAATTTAAATCCTCATTATAGTTTTAGATTTAAATTTATCATCATTTTAGGAGATGATTTTGATGGAAGTTTTGATTATGATATTGGAGGAATTTCAGCTTCATTAACAAGAGATAGTAAACCTACTACAGCTAATAATGTTGGTAGAGATAAAGATGACAGATATATAATTATTGATAGAATAGAATCACATTTTACATCCACTTTTTCAGTTGAACTCTAATGTAAATCAAATAAAGGATCAATCGAAGATAATTTTTGTATTATTTATGATTATTTTATACTTATTTTAGAAGTAAATAATAAATATTAATTAGTGTACTCAATATTGTACTGCTTGTACTGGCCCAACATGGGGATAATGCACAGGAAAATAATCATTGCCAACAGGAATGTAAACACCTTCTACATGCATAAATAAAACTTACTATTTTGATAACACTGTTACTCCTGCTGTTTGTAGATAATGCACTCCTACTTATTGTTTAGAATGTTTAAATTCATACATTTGTACTAAATGTGCTACTAATTTTTATTTATTAAATGGAAATTGTTAATGTTATCCTTGGACGTATTTAACTAATACAAATACTTGTGTAAATTGTCATCCTTTATGTGAATCTTGTTATGGTTCTGGCAGTAATGAATGTTTATCTTGTAAAAGTTCTTAACATAGATATTTAAATAATAACCAATGTATTTGTCAGAGTAATTACTATGATGATGGTATCAATTAAAATTGTAAATCAATTTGTGGTGATATGATTGTAACCGAAGGAGAAGATTGTGATGATGGTAATACAATTAGATTTGATGGGTGTAATAATTGTAAATTTGAATGCTAAAAAGAGTGTAAAATTTGTATTAATGGATAATGTTCAGTTTGTGTTACTGGTTATACAATTTAAAAAACTATGAAAAGATGTTATCCAACATGTGGAAATAGTTCAATTGTTAGTGAAGAGTAATGTGAAGATAATAATCTAACTCCATATGATGGTTGCTATAATTGTTAATTTTAATGTTAACCTTAATGTACATCCTGTATCTATGGAAAATGTTATCAATGTGATAAATCAATTGGTTATTATATTAATTTGGCTATTTATAAATGTATAACTATTTGTGGAGATTAAATTGTTGCTGGAGCTGAAATGTGTGATGATGGAAACGATAATCCTTTTGATGGATGTAATATGTGTGCTAATTCATGTGATTCATTTTGTGATTTATGTATTTTTGGTGTTTGTACCAAATGCAAATCAGGATTTTACTTATTAAATAACAATGGTAAATGTGCTCCTATATGTGGAGATAAAATTGTATCATACTACTATGAATAGTGCGATGATGGTAATTTAATTTCTTATGATGGATGCGATTTATGTCAACTAACTTGTTAAGAATAATGTACTTCATGCCTTTATGGTATTTGTTAAGAATGTAAAAAAGGATATAAATTAAATTAAAAACTCAAATAGTGCATTTCAACATGTGGAGATAATATACTATCTTCACAATATGAATAATGTGATGATGGTAACATTACTTTTTAAGATGGTTGCTTTTAATGTCAATATGAATGTTAATCTGAATGCTAAACTTGTGCAGCAGGTATCTGTTATAGTTGCAAAGCAAATTTTTATCTTAGCTCTGATAATTTATGTCTTCCTATATGCGGTGATGGTATTATTTCAAAATTTGAATATTGTGATGATTTTAACTTTATAATAGAGGATGGATGTTCAAATTGTTCATTTTAATGTGAAAAATCTTGTAATTAATGTTCTTTTGGAATTTGTGTATCCTGCCAAAATGGATATTATTTAAATTAATCTAAAAAGAAATGTTTTCCTATTTGTGGAGATACAATCATTAAAGCAGATGAATAATGTGATGTTGGTATACTTCCATTTGATTACACTTTATAAAATAACTCTGGATGTATTAATTGTCAATTATTATGCTCTCCATAATGTTAAATTTGCACATAAGGTTAATGTTTAAAATGTAAAGAGTCTTTAGGATGGTATTTGGATTATGAAACTTTAAATTGTTACACTTAATGTGGAGATTCAATTATTAGTGACTATGAAGAATGTGAGGATTCTAATTCTTAATTAAATGATGGATGCAATCAATGCATTTTTACATGTTAGAATGAATGTTCAAAATGTATTTTTGGATAGTGTTAATAATGTGATTATGGATATACTTTAATTAATAATATATGTAAATCAGTTTGTGGGGATGGCATAAAAGCTGGGAATGAAGAATGTGATATAGGTATAATTAACTTTGATGGATATGAATGTGTTAACTGTATGTATAAATGTTCAGATGGTTGTAATAATTGTGTTTATGGTTAATGTTTAGAATGTTAAAATAATTATGGATATTATTTTAATTTAAATAATTAATGTGAATCAAAATGTGGGGATTTAATTATAAGTTAGAATGAAAATTGTGATGAGAATAAGGAATCATGTATTAGTTGTAATTTTGTATGTGATGTTAATTGTGATTAATGTTAATTTGGAATTTGCTAAAATTGTAAAGATGGATATCAATTATTATTAAATAAATGTATTAGTATTTGTGGAGATTTAATTTAAGCAAATAATGAAGATTGCGAAAATGATGATATTATTCCTTTTGATGGTTGTTATTTATGTAAATATTAATGTTAAAATGAATGCTAATAATGTATTAATGGAGAATGCATATCTTGTGATGAAATAAATGGATGGTATTTATAAAATAAGAGATGTGAAACTAAATGTGGTGATGGTATTTTAGCAGGATTCGAAGAATGTGATATAAAGCAAGAATAAGATAATGGAGATATATCATTTAATAAATGTTTTAATTGTAAATATTAATGTGTTGAAAATTGTTTATAATGTGATAAAGGTATTTGTAAATAATGTTAAAGTGGTTATATTTTGAATGATTTTAATGAATGCATAAATGAATGTGGTAATTAAAGTATTTAAGAATTTGAATTATGTGATGATGATAATTTTATTGGATTAGATGGTTGTTTTTAATGTTAATATGATTGTTAATCTTAATGTTAAGTCTGTGTTAATGGATAATGTCTGTTATGTGAGGAAGGATTTTAAATAGATAATAAGAGTTTCTAATGTAAATATATATGTGGTGATATGAAAATAACATAATTTGAAGAATGCGATGATGGTAATGATATACCTTTTGATGGATGTTATGATTGTAAATATTCATGTGTTGAAAATTGTGATATTTGTCTAGAAGGTGTTTGTTAAGGTTGTATATAAGGATACATTTATGAATTTCCTTAATGTATTCCTGATTGTACAGATATAAAGATAAAATAGAATATGGATTATTGTTATTTTAATGAATGTTAAAGTGAATGCATAAGATGTATAAAAGGGGATTGCTATTAATGTTTAAATGGATGGTATTGGAATGAAGTAGAATTAATTTGTGAAAGCAAATGTGGAGATCATATAATAGTAGGATTAGAGGAATGCGATAATTATTAATAAAGAGATGATTTATATTGTAATAATAAATGTTAATTTGGATGTCCTTAAAATTGTGATCGTTGTGAATTTGGTTATTGTTAATAATGTTAAAATGGTTATTATTTGATATAAAATGTATGCTAAAATTATTGTGGTGATAATTAAGTTGTGGAAGTAATAGAATAATGTGATGATTATAATATAGATGCATTTGATGGTTGTTTTTAATGTAGTTTAAGTTGTAATTAATAATGTTCTTTATGTATTAATGGTAGATGTGAGAGATGTTTAGATGGATATATAAAATAAAATGAAGATTGTATATCAATATGTGGAGATGGATTATTAAGAATTGATGAAGATTGTGATGATTAAAATTCTTTAAAATATGATGGTTGTAATTAATGTAAATTTGAATGTGATGAGAATTGTAATAAATGTGAATATGGTAAATGTTTATATTGTAATATTGGATATTATTTATAAGATTAGATTTGTGTTACATTTTGTGGAGATGGTTTGATAGTAGGTAATGAGAAATGTGATAATGGTAATATATTTGAAGAAGATGGATGTTAAGGATGTTAATACTCTTGTTAATAATATTGTAAGACATGTTAATATGGTCAATGTATTTAATGTTATGATGAAATGGGTTGGCATTTAACACCATAGGGTGAATGTTAAACCGTTTGTGGTGATAAAATAATAGCAGGATAAGAATCATGTGATGATGGTAATGAAATAAATTATGATGGATGTTATGAATGTGAAAAGGTTTGTTAAGAGAGTTGTACAGAATGTACTAATGGTTTATGTTATGAATGTAATACAATAGGTTGGATATAATATGATTTTTTATGTTGGGAAATATGTGGAGATGGATTAAGAGTAGGTATTGAAGATTGTGATGATGGTAATGATATTAAATATGATGGGTGTTTTGAATGTAAATTTTAATGTTAAGAATAATGTACTATTTGTAAAGAAGGTATTTGTTATGGTTGTCTAAATCCAGGGTGGATACTTTATTAAAATTAATGTGGTCCATATTGTGGAGATGGAATAATTATTTAAGAATATGAATAATGTGATGATGGTAATTATGAACCTTATGATGGTTGTTTTGAATGTTAATATCAATGTGAAGAACTTTGTACACTTTGTGAGAATGGAATATGTTATGAATGTTCTTAATTAGGATGGACTATTAAATAAAATTAATGTATTCCTTTTTGTGGAGATGGTTTAATTGTTGGAAATGAATAATGTGATGATATGAATAATATTAAAGATGATGGATGTTATTAATGTTAATTCTTATGTGATTAATCTTGTATTGATTGTTAATAAGGTTATTGTAAAGAATGCTCATATGGAATGCATCCACATAATCATACTTGTATATTTATATGTGGAGATGGTTTACTTGCTTCATCAAATGAATAATGTGATGATGCTAATTAAGATAATGGAGATGGTTGTAATTCATAATGTAAAATTGAAAAAGATTGGATATGCGTAAATAATTTTAATTCATTTTCTATTTGCTCATTTGAAATATAACCAGACTTTTAAATTAAAGTTTTAACACCTCATCCATAAGATTCTTGTAATATATAAATTACATTTACATAAAAAGTTAAAATCTCTCCGAATGTTAAAAATAATCTTAATGATTATATACTTACTACTCTTACTAACTCAGACAAATTAAATTACTAAATTGAATTAATCAGTTAAAATATAACAACTTAAAATATAACAACTGATTTAATTCTGGATTTTAAAATTACTTATTTAAGTCCTATTGAACTTCCTATTTTTAAAATTGAATTTAATGATAATCCAATCATCTCTGAACTTAATCAAGCACTTATTAAAAATCATTCAACTATACAATTATAAACACCTATTGTTTTAGGATAAACAGAAATTAATATTGCAGAATAAACGTAAGCCTTTAATTAAGGAATCATCATAGCTCTAGCATCCTTATCCTCTGTTTGCATATTAACAGGATAATCTGATATCTTTTGGAATTTAATGGATCAATTATAATACTTATCATATGTCAAATATGTCAATATTGATTTTTCACCTAATCTTGCAATCTATTTTGAAGTTTTTAAATTAGTGACTATATCTCCTTTGATGTCTTTCTTAGGTATCGATGCTATATTTGATGCTCTTGATGGAAGTAATCAATATTTTGTAACAACTGAAAATAAATTTCTTAAGGATTAAATTAATGCCTATTTCCTTACTAATTTTTAGAGTTTCCTATTTTGTGCTATTGCTACATACTCAAGTTATTTCGGTGCTAAATTTTTTTATAAACAACTACAAAAAATTGGTTAAATATAAATTGTCTGGATAGGATTTAGAATTGGTAAAATCTTAATAAGTCTTAAAAATGAACTTAGAATTAAAATCTCTGAATTTTATTACAATTCACTTTTAAGATTATTACTGTCTAATTTTTATGATTTAAGTTTTGCATGTGCAATACAATTAGCATATTATCCTACCTAAATGGATTTTACATTGATTATCAATTATTATTTAGCAGGTATCTTTTATGTTGGAATCGTCATATCCATACTAACTTTATTTGCACTTTCAAGTTCCTTCTCTAAATAGTCTTCTTTAAAAAAAAAATCTTAATATTAGGCTTTTTTTGATGGAATCAATAATGACAATAATATGTGGATAGTTTAATATAATTCACTTTAAATGATAAAAAAATTAGTATTCATATCTGGTATTGTATTCTTATAAGACAATGGATTTATTTAAGTAATTGCAATAACTTTCTTATAATCATTCTTTTTTATTCATTTCATTCTCAATAAACCACTAAATAATTAATATGAATATGTGAAAACCTTGACCACTGAATTTTTAATAATCATAAATGTTTGTTCCTTTTTGTTCTATTAATACAAAAATGAATTTGGGTTTAAACCAGAATCAATGATTATTTTAGGATGGCTACATATCGGATCCTTTTCCTCCATTTTAGCAATTACTTTTGTTCTAGATTTATATTAGTAATTTAGAAAATTAGCTAAGATTATTGCCTAAGCTATAAAACCAAAAAAAAAAGAACCAGTACCTATCTTTTATTCATATAATTGATTTTACATGTATTCATTATTAAAAACTAACTCTTTTTATATATATCTAATTATTCAATATTTAGCTGAAGATTTTATTAGATTATATATATATTAATTTCAGGTATATGTAATTCTAAACATTTTTATTATCTAATCAATAATTAATTTTTCCTCTTCAACCTTTGCTTTCCTAATCATTTTTACTTTGTTAAATAATCATAAGCATATAACTTTATGATGTTTTAGTTATCATTGCAAAAAATTTCATCTTTCTATCTCAAAACTTATTTGCTGATTGTAACTGGTCTTTTTTCAAAAAAATAATATATTAATTAACTATATCGAAATAACTTTTAGTCATATTATACTCCCTTATTAAATTTAGAATCTTTATCTCATTTGATTTCATTAGATCATTTCATATAAAATTCAATTTAAATTTTAATTATTGTCAGAAAGACTTAAAATTTCTTAAATGTTTTTATATTATTATACAAAAAATTTTACCTTAATAATTAAAACAATTCATTAATGCTTTTAAAGATGTTCTAGTAAAATTCCTCTATAAAAAATTACTTTTATATTGGATGATAAAGAGAAAAAAATTATTAATAAAAATTTGGAATTCAATTTTTATATAAAATTAATATCAATTAAAATTTCATATTCATTGTTCATATTTTCTTCCAAATGATTCTAGATATTTTGGAATATTTCTTTAAAATAAGATTGGAATAGAAATTGATTTAATAATTGCTTTAGAAAGTCCATATCGATTGTATTAGTAATATGTAAATAATATTTAAAATATTAAAACAAAGATACCAATTAAAATTCCAACTAAAATAATAATAATTTAGTTATTCTTTGTTAATATATCTATTGTTTATGAAGATATATCTAAAAAGTATTGACTAAATTACGCAATTTAAAATTAGATAATATCTATTCCCCATAATATATAAATAAGATATTCACTATCATTAAGAATTTACTCAATTGTCTGAGCTTTTTCTAATTAAGTTTATTGTTTTAAAATTAATGAAGCAGTATCTTCTACAAATGTTAATACTTTCTTATGAAAATTAACTATTCCTGTCTAAAAATATGGTACTAATTTATTTGAATACAATTTATCAAATAACAATTAATTTTACATGTCACAACCAGTTAAAAGACATACATCTTATCCTAAAAGTTATACTTATTATTAATCATTGATTTCTGAATTTTAATATTCATTATGTAATATTAAACTTGTAAAATCTATCAATCTTAATCTAATAATATCTTCTTAAATTAATTCATTATTTATAGATAATAAATTAAGTATTAATGTATCTGTTTCGATATTTCTGGTCATTAGTTAATGATCTGGATCAAATTTATTAATTATTGCATAAGTTTCAAAATATTCTTTTATTAAGAATAAATCAAATCTACTAGTAGCAACAATAAAATTCAATCTCTGTTCTTAAGCTAAAATTGCTCTATTACTTATAGGTCCTATAGAATTCTTTATTTGATGATAATGTAAATGAAAAGCTAACACATATGCAGCAATAATTAATTAAACTAATATAATCATCAAAATTGAGCAATAATTTGAATAATTAGAATTCTGTTAAATATGTCTAAATTTTATTTACTTTTTTTGAATATTAATTACTGTAGTTTGATTTAAACTTTTTCTAACATCATCTAATATTTATTTTGGGCAATTTAATAATAACTCGAAATTTTTTAATCTTAAGAAAATTCTGTTTTAGGATAAAATGCTTATATAAAAATCACATTAATTTAAGATTTGAATACAATCATCTTTATCACACATTTTAAATAATTTCAAATAAAATTTGAAAGTTCGAACTACTTTGAGATAATAAATAATTAAAGCTGCTAATTGAAATATAATAATTGAATAAAATCCAAAAAAATAATAGTTGACTATTTAATCAAAATAATTATTCATCTCTGTATTAAAAATATGACAATCTTCAAGTGTAATATTAACACTTTCACTTACATCAAAAAAATTATAATAAACTTATGATCTTGCTATTTATGTCATATATGTATCATTTCTCTCTTATTAATAGGTTTAAGGTGACGATGCAAATGAGTTATATGAAAAGAAGAAAATTTGATGCATAATTTGATAATAAGTAAAATAATCTTAAACTATTTAAGAGATTTTGCTTTTCAAATCAAAGTTAATAAAATAAAAGGTCATTAATTTAGTTTCACTTTACTAAGCAATTTTTTTATAATCAGGATACATTTCGATAAGTCTAATACTTCCTTTTGCTATATGCTACCAAGATATATAAATTTTATCTTATCTACTGAAATTTATTTAATCATTATTTATAGAGATTAAAGTATCTTCTTATAAAGTATAAAAATCTCTATAATAAATTACATGTCTAGATCCTGACATAGTTTAACTATATGCATCTAAAAAGTTCAAATCAGCTGTGCTTCTATAAATACAATCTGATTAAAGATTTCTCTTATTCTAATAAATATTTGATATTAAAATTATAAAAATTATTAATACTAAAATTTGAATGATAAATTAAGCAATTAAAATCTTGATAGATTTTGGTAAAACTTTATCATTCATGTAAACAATAATTTTCTCTAATTATTTATCCATTTCATTTGAACTATTCATTGTAGCAGTATTTGTAAATTCTGCTTCTTATCCTATAAATTCATTCATTTCATCTTCATCATTTGAACAAATTATATCATTTTAATAATGTCTATTTGTATCATTAAGTTATTATTATTATCTTCTTGTTATTTCTAAAAAAAGTGGAGTTTTTGCATCTTAATAAAATGTTAATTTATTTAATTTTGGATCTTCCAAAAAATTAATTTCTATTACAAAATAAACAAATTCATAAGTTGTATGATTTTCTATATAATACAAAACTTTTTAAACTACACTAAATTCAATAGGAAATAGTTTAGAATTTTATGTTTTAATCTTTTAAATATAAGTATCAATATCTTTTAAATTATTCAACATTATTTTATTTGTATATTTTTTTGTCTAAAATGATAAAGTTGCTATATTATGATTTTATTTTGAAGATGGAACAGAAAGTACTCCTATTTCACGTTAACAAATTATATCCTAATGTATCAATCTTTTTTAATTTTTTATTGTCAATAATCTATAATATTCTTCTAAAATAAAAGATATAGATGGTATTAATTCTTATATAGTAAAAACTTAATAAATATCATCTGGTTAAATTAACTCTAAATTTTCATTATTTTTGTAGAAATATTTATAATTAATTCTTTCATATATATTTCTTGTTATTCCAAAAATTAAAAAATCAGAATCTACTAAAATATACCCTTTTCTAAAATAATCAATTTCTTAATTTTAGTACTTAGTAATTTTCAATAAATGTCCAATAATTAAAAATTAATATAAATCACTAGATTATGGAAGGAAAGCAGTTAGACATATGTTGACTTTTTCAATTAAATTATCAGCATTTAAAATAAATTATTCTGAATTTGCATATAATCTTTTAGTTCTTCCTTTTAATAAAAAAGCTTCAACTAGACCATTATGAATTCTTCCTAATTTATTAGGCAATAATTATTCTATTTAAGTTAAAGGTGTATATTGATTTTTATAACCAAAATACTCATAAAATTAATCATTTACTTTTTAATTTATAAAACCTAGAGATTAAGATTAAGCATTTGAAACAATTGATAATGCTTAACCATTTATAAATTATAAGATATTGAAAAAACTTTTTGAATTAGTTTATTCCTAAACTAAACTCTCAATTTATTGGGCTATCTTTAAACAACTATTTATATCTTCTTTACAAATTAATGAAACTACTAATTTTATTCTAAGAACTAAAATAGAATCAATAGCTGGAGTTTCTCTTTAAGATTGAAAGTTTATGAATTCTTTTTTCACCATTTCAGTTCTTACTCTTATTTATTTTGAAAATTTTATAATATTATCATCTGAAATAGATTAATTTATACTTTACTACCATAAAGATTTATTACAAACTAGTAAATTAAGCAATAATTTAATAATTTTATCTTCATAATGATAAAATAAATTGAAGTCTTATAAACTTCTAAATTCTTACAATTCTATTTATATTCCTAGCCTATTACTATTTTCAATCTCAGTTTTATTTAAATTTTAAATTAATTTAGTTAAATTTTAAAAGAATAAAGGTTTATTTACTTAATTCATTTTTTTAAAAGTGTAAACAACATCTTAAATTATTTTATATGATAAAACAGAGTTTTCTCTATATTTTTATAAGAAAGTTACAAATTTTATTGTAATTTATTCAAAATATGAAAATTAATTCTAATCTTACATAATTGATTTTATCATTTTTTAAAATTAATGTTGTACCCAAATAAAAATAACTTGTATATTTAATTTATTTGTTCCTAATATAAATTTATTTAATTTTTATTTACAAGGACATGTAAAATCGCAACAATTTTAACAATGAATCCCTAAATATTTTAGTATTAAATAATAATCACTTTAATCAATACTTTCTTGATGACATAATTAAAATATAAATTCTAATGGATGTTCACTTATTTTATTAGTCTTACATTTAAAAAATAATTAACATGATTTATCAAAATAATTATTATAGAGTTCTTAATTGATTGTAAATATCAACTATTATAAATAAAAATAATACAGGAATTGAAATGCAAAATGTCAAAAATATATGACCATCATTTAAATCAGAAAATATCCATAAAGCTACTAAAATTTCAAAAAACCATGCACACTACAAACAACTATTGAAAAAGATAGTTTCTTATTTAAAACCAAAAGGAATATTTTTATATGTATCAAAAATTAATAGTATTATTAAGATATTTAGAATTAAATGAGTTATAATCTTTTAATGGTCATACATTTCTCTCCAATAAGAAGATATCTATAAAGCCATATGTAATAAGAAGGTTATAAAGTTAAAGTAACTAAATTTTCTCATCAAATCTCCTTACATAAATTCATAATTTCTATAACAATATGAAGATAAAAAACCGGTAAGAATTATTAGTAATTAGCTTATGATAGTTATCAATATAAAATGAGGTGAAATTAATGAAAAACATTGTAAAGGATTAAAATTACTATATTCTGCTAAATATGCTAAAGTACCACAAGTTGTAATTCCAATTATGCATTCATGAAAAGGTGTTAAAAAATACCATTAAAAATTCTTAAAATAAAAACTTATAAATTTATTAACTAAATTATTTGTAGAAAATGGCTATATAAAAATCATCATAATACCTTAAATAATATTTAGAATATGACTAGGATGTATATTAAACATATGATCAAAAAAATACAATAATAAGCAAATTTTGTAATTGGATCGTAATATATAGATGTAATCATAAAAGTAATTGAGGAATATTAAGCTATTAGAGCTAAATAATCATTTTCATAAAACTAAATTTATTTGCCTTCAAATTAATTATAAACGTAACCAAGCAATTAAATAAAATAAAAGACAATCATACCCATATTGCCATAATCTATTTTTGTTTTTCTTCTTTCTTTGTTATATCCAATATTTAAAAAGAAATAAATGAGCTTAGAACAATGTTTCATTAATCAAATATATTATATTTATTTATTATCTTAAAATAATTTTAGATTTAAGTAATTGAAAAATGTTATTGAAAGTCTATTATTTTTATTTACCGAGTTTCTAATACCATAAATTAAATAATACTTTTTATTTATAAGATCTAATTTAATCTTAATCATTAATATCTAGTTTGTATTCGAATTGTGATAATAAATTAATAATAAAATTAATTATGAAAACTATTTTCACTTTTATGGATTGAACTTAATTTTTAATTTAAGTAAAGCATCAACCTTTTATTTTTGTTGACTATGAAATAAAAATTGATTTCAATATTAAATTTAAGGATTATTAGTTAGTTCAGTGTAAAATTTTAGCAATCTCTTTGAAAGCAAATTATTATCTTCATAGCTTTAAATTTAATTAATAATATTAACTGTATAAATTGATTTTTTATGTACTAATTCTAAAAAGTGCTCTTACATTTTTGAAAGTATATTGACATGTTATTCTCTAAAGCCTTCATATAAAAACTTTTATTTTGTTTTTATTTTTTTAAATATCTACCATCTATAAATTTTCCATCATTTTTTTTTATGTATTTATTATTCCTCTAGATGCAAAAAAAGATAAAATTGAATTAATCTAAATGATGATGATCAATTTGATTAATAGAAATAGCTAATATAGAGATTTAAAAAGAAAATTTAGAAGATAGCTTCTTATATTTTACAATCTGGAATAATGTAAAACAGCTAATTTACTTTAAAATCTATATTGTTATTTGAACTATTAAATTATTATGATTGAGAAATTTTAGATAATAAAAATATAATTTTAAAAAATAGGAGACAAGTATGTGTTGTTGAAATTAGAAATTCACTAAGTTTTTGATAATTTTTGTTTTGAATATGCAAACACAATTTTAAATATTTATTTAATTCATAAAATTATAAGGTAATTTACAAACAATACTAGATTAAGTAATAAGACCTATTTAAATATTTATAAACTTTATAATCTGATAATAAAGAAGTTTAGAGGAATAATTCTTTATGAAAAATAAAATAAAAACCTAAAAAAAAAAAAACTGAAATAGAGAGAATTGATATTTCTTAAAATATTTAGAGGATTTGAAAAAAAGTTTCTAATTTCAATTTTTAAGCAGATTATTTAAATTATATATTTTTTAAAATAATTTGGAGTGAATTTATTGGATTAAAATGGTCAAAGAAGAATAAATTAATCATTTGAATTCTTCATATCTAATTTAATAATTTTAAAAAGAATTGAAGATTTCCAAACATAAAAGAATAAAAAATAAAAAGTATATTTTTTTTCAAAACTCCTTAAGTAAAGCAAATTTCAAAATTTTTATTAGGTTAATATTCATTTAACTAACTTAATTCTTTTTTTTTTGCAAAAATATTTTATGTGGATAACCTTATAGATGAATAAGTAAATCCAAGTTTATTTTAGAAATTAACATTTTATTAAAAGATTTCTAAAATATACACCTTATTATAATATAAGGTTAAATAAATCAAAGTTACAATTTATTGTAACTATCAAAAGTTGCATTTTAATGTGATATATATTCATTAATAATACCATATAGTTATTTTTCTTCGATATAAAAAACTATTTAGAATATTAAATTAAAATTATATTTTCATATTTATTTCTTTAGAATAATTGAAGTAAGAATGGCATAAAATTTATGTTTATTTAGTTTTACTAAATAGTCAATTAAATAGTTCAAAAATACTTTTTTATTAAATAATTATAAATTATTATAAAAAATTGTTTTTTATCATTTATTTATTGTTTGTCAATCATTATAAATTTTTTAACCAATCATTTTTCCTAATTCACTTAATTTTGATGAATATTTTGTTTTATTACTAAAAAAATAAAATAAATAAAAGAATAGTTTTTAAATAAGTATTCTTTAAAGTAAAATAAATGATGAGCATAAAAGATTATTTACAAACAATAATTTCTAATTATGATAAAATAAATAATGTAAATAAAATTTAATGATTTATCAACGAATTGGCAACTTTCTTTTAGGAAAGACATATTATTATTCGATTTGTTTTATTTTTCTTTCTGAATTGATAGTTCCAAAACTTAAACGTTTTTAATCTAATTCTTCCTAATTATTTTTGCCAACTATTTCATCCATTTCATTATTATTAGTTATTAACTTAGTTTATCTCGAACTTAGGAGATCAAATTTCATGATAGAATACTTTAATCCTTCTATTTTTTAAGTAAATTAGAGGGGATGAATTAATATTTACCTAACATCCAAATATTTATTTATTAATTCTGATTAATTATAAAATATTTCTCTTGATAGCTAAGAAAAAATCAAATGTTGAATATTAAGTTTTTTTTTTTTATCATTTTCCTTTTAATTATCTTTATAATCATTTTAGTTTTAATGGCTAATTAAGAAATTAATTAAAAATAACCTATATAAGATTGATTATATTGGAAATATCAAAATATCTATTAAAGCTCTAATTATTGTAAATAATCCCCCTAATTTAGCAACTACATCCATTAAGGTTTAATATGTAATATAAGAAACCTTTTTTTTAGCATCTAATTGAAGTTCAATTCTAGCTAAAATATTAGCATCTTAAAAATAAAGCACACTATCAGTTATAGTTTTTTAATATTCGATTCCTTCATGTTAAACTATTTCAGGAAAAAAGTAAAATGGATTGTATTCAAGAAAACTTTAAGAGTATTGAAAATAAATATTAACTTATTTACCAACTTTGTTATACAATGAAGTTATATCGATATTTTCAGTCTTCTAATATGGAGAATCTTCAGATTCTTTATTGAGTTAATGGAAGGAATATGAATAATAAAGGTTGGCATTTGTAATATATCTATCTATTTCTTCTTATGATGCACAATCTAAATTATATTATGAAATACTTGAAGTATCAGTACTATTTTTACATCTTTCAATTAATGCACCCAATAAAGTAAAATTATCATACCGATTAGATCCTTAAAATCTTATTGTAGGATTTTTTAGAATGTATTCTTCACTCATACAATAAGTCATGTTTTCATAAACAGGTGCAATATTTAATTTCTAAATTTAATCATTTTATGTTGATTACTTTTGATGCTTCTCTTATTCTTTCACCACATATAGTACCTGGTATAAAATTACATTTTGTTTCATTTAATGATTTATTACAAACGTAAAACATAATGTTAAATATTCTATTTCCTTCATTTTATATAGGTTGGCCCATCATATCAAGTAATCCTGCTGAAAATATTACTTCAGTCGAATTAAAACTGAAACCCTAAATTATAATTATTGTTAAACAAATACTTCGTTATTTTAAATGACAGCATCTTGAGAGTTTATAATTGCATTTTTCCCTTTGTTCATTTCTATAATAAATAAAATACCCGAATAAATAAGAATGCTAAATAATAATAATGTCATAAATGCTCCAATATAAGTTTGAAAAACAGATTATCCTGATGCTTTTAGTCTAATTTATTGACCAAAAATATCTAATTTTCTAAAGTTTTATGCAATTTCCACCATCTTTTTATTCGAGTTTAATAATTTATTATTAATTTTTTTCTATATGTTGTGGCTAAATTAAATTCATCCATTAATCTTATAGAGCATTTGTAATTGATTGAGGATAAAATATATATTAAACTAAATTGATGTGAAATTAAACTTTTTAGATGAGATTATTTTTTTAATATAAATTATATTCATGTCTTCAAATAAATGCATAATAAAGAAATTTTGATCAATTGTAAATTAATATTGTATATACAAATCAATATAATATTAATAATTTCTTAATAATAGAATTTGAATAACAAATTAATTACAATTTAAATGAATTTGAATTAAGTTAGTATTCTCAACATTTTATTGAGTGATCTAGTCATTCAAAAATATTTTTTTTTAATTTTGATTTTTTGTATATTAAAGAAAAAAAAACAGTAATCTGAGGAGGTTTTTAAAATAAATAAAAGGTAAAGTGAAGAAATCTTATAGATAATTATAAACAATTCTTAAGTTTTTTCAAAACTATGTTATTTTTAATACAATCTTAAATGTTAAAAATCTATCAGAAATAAATTAGTAATATTGATATTAAAATAAGAAAGACAAATAAATTTTATCAATTATTCTATTGAGGTACTAAATTATCTAATTTTCCATTAATATATTTGCATTTAAATACTTTTTAATTATTCCTTTTATAGTATTAATTTATGTTACAAGTCAAAATTATTCTATAATTCTATCCATTCTCTATTTTTCATTCCATTTTCATCATATTTTCCACCTCCTCTATATATGAATAGTAAATATACATAATTCTAAATTGCTCTGTATTATTTTTTCTAAATTTTGTATTCCATTATTCAAATTTGATTCCATCTTTATATGAACCTACAAAGATAACTTAGCATTCACTAAATAATTTATAATTAAAAATGAGTACTCCCAAAAATTTTCATATAATTCTGCCCATAAACCTTGTTTAAATCCATTTTCATCATAATAACCTCCACCACTATTTTATTAAATTTAATTTTAACATTTTTTTATTTTCAAAAATGATATCCCATTATCCTTATTTCTTTCCATGTTTAAATATACCATTATAAGTTACCTAACAACGACAGCCATATTTATATTTTCTATACTTATTGAAAAAATCATATGGCTCAATCCATTTTTTATGTTTTTATCCATTAATATCATATTCACCACCTCCACTATAATTCAATTAATAAAATTATTTACATAATTTTGAATTCTTTATCAAAATAACCTTAATAGATAGTATTCCATCTTCCCTTTTTTATTCCTTCATGATATTCTCCTACATAAATTACTTAACACCATCTTTCATTAATAAATAAAACTACGTTTAAAAATTTTCATGTAATTCTTTCCATTAACCTATTTTTATTTAATTTTTATCATAACTTCCTCCACCACTTTAAAAAATAATAATATTTAAACATTTATTAACTTGAATAAACTATTTGCCATTTTCCAAATCTATATCCATTTTAATATTCTCCTATTTCAGTAACTTCAGAACGACTTAAAAATAAATACAAATATTTTTACTTTGAAAAATTATCAAATAAATCAATCCATGCTCCTTATTTAGTTTCATTCTCATCATATTTACCGCCTCCACTATATAAATTATTTCAATAAATTATCACATAATATTGCCATTTAAAATTATATCCCATTTTTATACTTTCTACCCATTATAATATTTTCCTTCAAATTTAACTTAACAATCACTTAAATTTAATTTTAATAAAAACCTGTTGAATTTTTCATATAATTCTATCCAACATCCATTTTTTATTCCAAATTCATCATATACACCTCCACCACTTAAATATATATCGATATAATATACACAGTTTCATTCAGATATTTATAATCCCATTTATCAAATCTTTATCCATTCTTATATATTCCTTAAAATGTTATTTAAGATTTCCTAATTAATTAAATTATATAAATACTCCCAATAGTTTTCAAATAATTCCATCCACATTCCTTTTTTTTAACCTTAATTATCATAATATCCACCCATAGTTAAATTTAACCCTTTCCAAATATAATTCCATTTCCCAAATCTTAAACCATTTCTATATTATCCTTCAAATTTCAAATGCTAAATTTATTCTAAATTTCTTATAATATCCTTTTTCCTCTTTGAATCAGTTACATTTTCACTATTTTATTTAAGTAATTATTTACATTTTTAAACAAATTCCATCTTTTATGTATTTAATTTATCCCATAGATGTATATTCTACAATAAATTTTGTTTTTTATAAATTATCATAAAATCTCTAAATACCTTTCTCTTCAAAAACACCTATTTACCATATATCTTCTTAAATTATTTCAAATTTTGATTTTTTACAACCTCTTACTTATAGAATTATTAAATTTACTTTAATTCTGATAAAATATTTACTAATTTATGATAAAAATTAGAAAATTCATTATCAGCATTTTATTTAGTTGATTTTAATAAATTTATTTTAGATTCAATTTTTTAATTCTATAAATCCAAATATTATCCTGAAATAATTTCAATAAAATTTATTAAATCAGTTTATGAACATTCATGAACTCTATTATCATCAATTTAACTTATTTCTAATAAATAATCATTTATTTTTTTTATTTCATCAAACATTAATATAATCTACTAATTGAATTCTTCTAAAATAGCCTTAATTTATTTTTCTATTTATCCAAGCATTAATTTATAACTCATCCTTAAAGATATAAAAGCAGAATCTTAATCATTTTAAATCAAACTATTAGCTTTTGTTTTTAATCTTTCACAAAAATCCTCTAATAAAATAATTTCATTTTTATTTGCATATTTCTCGTGCTTACACACTCCACATACCTTTCTCTAACATTTATGATTTGCTATGCATATATGAGTTATTTGCTTATTCATATGAACTGGGCAGAATGAATTATTTTAAATCATAAATTATTAAAATTAATTATAATTCTATTCTATAATTCTTTCAAGAACTATCATGAAATCAAAATTTTTATAATCATGTTGTATAAAACTATCTTGAAATATTTATATTTCTAAAAATAAATAATAATAAATGATAAAAATATTATCTAAACTAATAGAATATATAAATTTTACTATTTTCTAAGTTTCTCTTTATTATTTATTATCATTAGTTTTTAAGAAGAAATTAAATTAACTCATTATCAAAGATCCATTCAAAATATTTTAATTATATTTTTTTTAGTCACAGGAAATTTTTGTAAAAATAGTAAAAATTAAAAATCATTAAAATTGCTTTATATCAGTTATAACTTAGAATAACTCTTAATAATGTTTTAAAAATCTTAATATTTATTATTATCTCAATTGCAAATATGCTTTTTGGATATTATTTAAAATTAAATATAAAATTAATAATTTATTATCATTTTTATTATGGATAATTAAGATTAATAAAGTTTAGACTTAGTAATGAATTATATAAATCTCATCACATCACATACAAGATTAATAATAATTAAAATAATGTTTATTTGTATGATTGTTAAATCAATCTATTTTATCCATAATATTATGATCAACTTGTGACATTTTTTTTTCAAAGATGAATTTCACTACCTCAACAATTTCTATTTCGATTGCTTTTTATATCTTTGATGATAAAAATTTGTTTTAATTCGATATGAATTAAGATAATTTTTATAGACTTTCTTTCATAGCTTCTTCGATTATTAATTTCAATTCTTAGCTAAAATTTTATTTAATTAAGTATAAATTAATTTCTTAGAAAATAGATTAAGAATATGTTATGCCATCATCATTGATGTGTTTTCTATTTTTCATATGGCGAATTATGTTTTCCAAAAGTTATTGAATTTGTAAATTTTGTATATCTTTTAAGAAATTATTTTATTATTTTAATCTTTAAGCTAAAAGATTGAAATTTTCAATTTTCTAAAATAACATAATACTTATACTTAATTTAAATTATTAATTTCAGCTTGAGTTGCATTTTAACCTTTGGCTTTAATGAATTCTTCTTACTACTCAATTTTTTCTTGTTGATTAATTACATCAGCCTGAAATTATTGTAATTACTATATCTTGCTATCAAATAAATTTTTAAACTCCTTTTGTAAAAGATATTCTAATGGTTCAATATATTTTAATTTAGAATATAATTAAGAGCAAAGCTTTTGAATTTTAGGTCTAATAAATTTTTAATAAAATTTATTAATATTTTATGGATTGTTAATTTAGAGATTAAGAGATTCTTTTTAAATATTTTTATTTTTCATACTGAAACCTTAACTAATGAGATCTTTAACTATATCTTCTGTAATGACTTTAGATATTTTAGATTTATCAGTAGAATTTTCATAACAAAGATCAATAAAATATTGCATTTTAAGGATTTCATAATCTTTAGAATAAAAATCTATAATAATTTTAGATAAATAATTTAACTCGTTAATAAGTGTCTTTTAATATTGATCATATTGTGCAATTTCTGTTTAAACATTATTAAATTTTTTTTGACCTTCTTAAGAACATGAAAAAACAATATCTTATTTCAATTAAATTTAATCTTATTCTAATCTGCCTTTTGCCATTTATAAACGAATATAATTTAAAGCAGATTAATAAAAACTTTTTTTAAATTATTCTGTATTTCCTTCAGATGATTACAAAACCAAATTAACAAAACCTAAAAGATCTTAAGCAGTTTCTGAAGATATTGAACCTGCTTTTTTTTATTTTTCCATAATTTATTGTGCCATAAAATATATATTATTATTACTAATAGCATTTTTTGCAGCTATGGATACATCTCTTAATGTATCATATTTACCTTAAATGGCAATTCTTTCTAAGTCTGTTAACCAAAATCCTATTTTTAAGAGATTTTGAGCTGTAATAGGTGGAATTAATTGTAAATAATCCTTAATTCCAATTTCTGCTAAAGATTTCCATGCAATTTTACCAAGTGTAAAAGCTTCTTAAATACCAACTAATCCTGCTAAAGTTAATGAAGTTGCTATACTAATAACTTTATCTTATCCCCAAGCTCCCCAATCTATATCTATTTATTTCCAAGCTGCTTAAAATGAATAAAGCATATCTTTTATTCCTTCAGATATAAAATTAATACCAATTGGCGTTGAAAATCCACATGTAAAATAACATATTGCACATCCAACAACAAATTAACCTAATCCTATTGCAAACATTGCTACATATTAAAATTTATTTTTTTATTAATCTTTTGTTATTCGAGCTATTACTGGTAAAGGTCCATCTTAAATTATATCTTCAATTATTTTATTAGTTTCTTTTTCTATTTTTTTTTCTTCATTTTTTTTTATCTTTTCATTTTCATCTTCATTTTCATATTCATTTTCATATTCATTTTCATTTGTATTATTATTATCTGTTTTTTCTATTAATGAATCCCAAGTTACTTATAATCCTTGAATCTTTTCAGATTATGATAATGCACTCACTATCTAATCAATACTACTTATCACTTTCTCATAAACCTTAATTTATATTTATACAGAATCAATTTTAGGCTTTTAGTTTTTATTGTTATTTACCATTGATTTATACTCACTTTCTTAAGCTTTAGTTATGTAATCTTATTTGGGCAATTCTGTGCTTTATTAAATAATTTAATTTTCTGAATGTTAAGAAACAGGATAAGGTAATTTTTCAAATTATTTTATCTACATTTAATTTAATTAAATTGCTGTTGCTAATCCTTTTTCATTATCAATTTTTTTTTAAAGCTATATTTTTGATTATGACAATTAATCTATAACAGCATACCAATCTTCCTTTTATTTTTAATTGTCCTGATTTAACATATTTTACAATTTAATCATTGAATGGTAATATAAACCAAAAGGATCTTGTTCTTAAATTTGAACTGCTTTCTATAACAAGTTTATATCTTATTATTATAATCCTTAATATATATAATGCTTATGATTTTCTCCTTCATCTGAATTTAACCATTACTCCATATCATTTATATTCAGTCCTTATTGTTGATGTTGTTCATAATATATACCCCATTTCTCTTCTAAAATTTTAAATGCTGCTCTATTTTCTTTCATATTTATCTTACTCTTTGCTATTTAACAAAACCTTTAAAAACATATGTCTTCTTTCAATAATCTATCCATCTCATTTTCTATTTCATTTGAATATTATTATTCATTTGAATCTCTAAAATATATTAAAACATCTAAATTATTAAAGTTTTATTTCTTTTTTGTAGATTGTTAATAATAATTTATTGCATCCTTAATTGAATGAATTCCATTTAATAATCCACTCTATAAATTTTATTCAAAATTTACAATCAATTAAGCTGTACCTTATTTTCCTTACCTTGCAGTTCTCCCAAATCCTTAAAGTTATATTCTAATATTTCGAGGTAAAAATGACATTATCACATGAAGACCTCCATTTCTTTCTAATTCTTCACTTGTATTTAAATCTGTTCCTCTTCCAGCCAAATTTGTTGCTATTATAACTGTATTAGATCCTATATCTCTATTAACATACTAACTATCATCAAAATAAGTAATAGATCTAATATTTGATTTCTTTAAATATGCTTCAATTTCATACACATCCTTAATCGTTTAATTTATTATTAGAACAGCCCTCTTTTTATTTAACTATTTTTAAACAGTTTATAATATCTCCTTTAACCATTCTTGATGATTCATCGTTGCTATTCCTGGCTCTTCTTTCAATAATCTTTTCTTATAAGGAGGCATCAATACGAAATCCACGTTGTACATTTTGGCTAATAAATTCTATGTGACTTATGATCCCAATGTACCAGTAAGACCTAAAATTTAATTTTTATATCTTTTGAAGAATGTAATATTAGAAATATAATTAGTACAAATTCTTAATGTAGTTTAAGTAAGATTATGCTTCAATTCAATAAATTAATGTAATCCTTTTTGCCATTATGTATTATCTTTATGTACAACTCCCGTATTTTCAAAATCAATTATTCGAACAGCATTATTATCAATTTTATAATGTTTATTTTCTTGCAGTTTAAACTTTGCTAAAATAGCACTTTCAATCCATGTCTTTAGCATAAATGAAATATAATTTAAGTTACTCTGAGGAAGAATATGCTTAAGAATTTGATCTTACTATATCTTCAGTGTTTTTTCAACATATTCGCTTAAATCAACAACTTTATCCAAACCAGAACCTTAAGCTGGAATTAAAATTTTAAGATTAGTTAAAAGATTTTGCTCCTATTTACAAATTTCATCCCATATTAATTGAAATACTTTTTTAAAATCAAGCATTCCTGGTGTAGAAGAGCTTAATAAAGTTTTATTACTATTGCCATCAATTAACATAGAATCAACTTCATCAACAATAATATATCCACTTTACCTATCACCCATAGTACCTAATTCCTAATATTCATGTCTTAATATATCTGCTTAGAAACTATGTGGTTCTCCATATATGACTTGACACTTATAACAAGGAAACATTTTCTCTTTCTAATTCTCTGATCCATTTATATTATGAGATACAGATACTTAAAACAACTTATAAAATGAATCTAAATCTTAAGCATCTCTAATTGCTAATACAGGAGAACTCGTTACTATATCTACATTCCTTCTTCTCTTTCTACACAATAATATTGCCAACATAGCAATAATTACAGTTTTTCCCTCTCCTGTATATATTTAAGCTAATCGTCCCTTATTTATATCATGATTATATAATTCTATTACAGATAATAACTAAGCTGGCCTTGGATAATATTGATAAAGCTCTTTTACTTTTATACATAAATATTGTAAATCTTCATACTCTAATTATGGAGACACTTTAAAATCTTATACAATAGGCACTTTTTATTGATTTTTAAAGGAATTATATAATTTTAAAAGTAAATTCTACACTTGTTAATTACCTCTATTATTTAACGATTAAAATTCTGTAAAAAGATCTTAAATTTATTAATTTTCTGAACTTATATTAATATTCCTTCTGCTTGCTGGATTTATAATATATTGTTGATTCCAAAAATAATCTTAGTCTGATAAATCTTCTTAGTTCTTTTTATTTCCTTAATTCTATATATATCCTTTATTTTATTAATTTCCTTAATTCTATGTATATTCCTGATTATACATAAATCCTTGATTCTATATGTATCCTTAATTCTATTAATATCCTTAATTCTCTTAATGTCTTTAATTTAAATCATCATCATAATCATTTTAGACTTTTTGCTCCTTTTAATATTGTTTTCTTGTTTCTATTTAACTTTTCTATTAAAATACTTCAACTAAAGTTTTAAATTCATCAATCGAGCCAAATTCACTCATTAAAACATTATCTAAAATATATTAATTTAAATTTTCTTAATAGATATATTAGATAAGATAATTAACATCCTTCTTACTTTTTATTTATTTGAATAATTCATTTTTCAATTTTATCAATTAATCTTCCGATTATATTTCTTATTGTTTATGTTTTTTCTTAACTTATGTTGGAATCTCCTTTTTAATTTTTGATTAAAAATTATCCCATTATTAATCAGATTAAAGAAGACAATTGATAATAGTCTCTGGATTTTAAAAATCTTCTATTTGTTTTTGTAATATTGATAATTAATCTTATTTGAGATTATATGTATTCAAAATTATTTTGAAGGTTTCTTTATCTGTAGCAGACCAATTCTTATTCGCAATTTATGAGATCATTCTTAAAAATTTTTAATTATTGAAAATATTCTCAAAAATTTTGATTTAAAAAATGAATAATTAATTGAAAATTTTTTTATCTGAAGAGTCTTGCTAAAATATTACCTATCATTATTTGTTGAATTTATCCAAAAGATAATCAAAAAAAGTTGGATTTCTTAATACTTGGCTTAAAAATTATAAATTTAAAACCCTATTAAAATATTAAATAATAATTGGCAGCAATATCTTTAGCAGTGCTCCCTTTACTTATATTAAGATGTCCCACCATTTCTAATCAAATGATGATTAAAATGATTATTTCTATTAAAATAAGAAAATGAGCTTTTCATAATATATACCTTTTTATACAGGCAAAAGTAAACACTCCTATTGGGGAGGAGATTCTTACGAGGGAGATTTTGTTAATGGTGCTAGAAATGGATAGGGTACTTATAAATGGGCTAATGGAAATGAATACAATGGAGATTGGGTAAATAATCAAAAACATGGAAAGGGTAGATTCAAATGGCATAATGGAAATGAATACAATGGAGATTGGAAAAATGATTTCAGAACTGGATAAGGGAATTTAAAATACGCTAATGGTGATTTTTATGAAGGGGACTTTGAAAAGGGTATCAGACATGGAAAAGGTAGATACTTGTGGGTTAATGGGGATGAATACTATGGGGATTGGTAAAATGATAATCGTATTGGAAAGGGAAAGCTAAAATGTGTTGATGGAAATTCATATGATGGAGATTATATAAATAATGAAAAACATGGTAAGGGTAAATGTATTTGGTCCAACGGGGATGAATATAATGGGGACTGGTAAAATAATAATAGAACTGGAAGAGGGAAAATGACTTATGCTTATGGAGATTCGTATGAAGGAGATTGGGTAAATGGATAAAAACATGGAAAAGGTAGATACATTTGGGCTAATGGGGATGAATACTATGGAGATTGGTAAAATGATAATAGGACTGGAAAGGGAAAAGTAACATGTATTGATCGGGAGTCATATGAGGGAGATTATGTAAATAATGAAAAACATGGAAAAGGTAGATACATTTGGACTAATGGAGATGAATACTATGGAGATTGGAAGAATAATAGTAGGACTGGAAAGGGCAAGGTGACATGCGTTAATGGTGATTCATATGATGGAGATTATGTAAATGGTGAAAAACATGGAAAAGGTAGATACATTTGGAGAAATGGTGATATATATGATGGAGATTGGAAATGTGATAATAGAACGGGAAAGGGAAAAGTGACGTGTTTTAACGGAGACTCATATGATGGAGATTATATAAAAAATGAAAAAAATGGTAAAGGTAGTTATAAATGGATTGATGGGGATGAATATTAGGGACAATGGAAAAATGATAAGCGAACTGGATAGGGGAAACTGATATGTTCTGATGGAGATTCATATGAAGGAGATTATTTAAATAATGAAAAACATGGAAAGGGTAGATACACTTGGGCTAATGGAGATGAATACTATGGAGATTGGAAGAATAATACTAGGACTGGAAAGGGGAAAATGAAATGCGCTAATGGGGATTCATATGAAGGAGATTATGTAAATGGGGAAAAACATGGAAAAGGTAGATACATTTGGGCTAATGGGGATGAATACTATGGAGATTGGTAAAATAATAATAGAATTGGAAAAGGAAAAATGATATGGGCAAATGGAGCTGAATATTATGGTGATTGGGTAGATGATGAAAGACATGGGAATGGTCAAATGAAATATGTTGATAACTGCTACTATGATGGCAGTTGGGTACATAATAAAAGACATGGTAAAGGGGAATATAGGTCTGCTCAAGGAGAATTATATGTGGGAGAATGGATTTTTGATTCAATAAAATGAATTCATTATTATTATGATATCATTTTATATATTTACTATATTAAAATAAACTTTAATACAGAAATAGATGAAATAATTTTTTTTGCTGTTTTACTTAGCCACATTCAATCTATGATGCAGTAAATATTAAATGATTATGGGATAATTACCCACTTCACAATAATAAAAATAGGCAAAATTATCGGTTTATTCAATCAACCATGCTTCTGCTGTGTTTAAAAAATTTAAGATAATTTTTTGTTTGATGAAAATGAGTTATTATAATAAACAAATAATTTAATTTATTTTTTAACACAATAAAATTGGGCTATTTTTTGATG